AAAATCACAAAAGACTCCATATCTCTTTTTTTGAAAAAAAGTTGTCGCAAGCAGTCGGATACCTTAAATTGCGATTTACTAACAGAACGATTCTCTCAGAATTTCATTCATTATTTTAATTTTTTTAAGAGCAAAGGCATAAGAAAAGAGTAGTTGTTGGAAGCAATCATAAAGTATCCTTTCATCTCACTCGTGTTTCTTGGTTCAGGAGTCAGGATGGCCGAGCGGTCTAAGGCGCCAGATTTAAGCTCTGGTTCTCGAAAGAGAGCGTGGGTTCGAACCCCACTCCTGACAATTCTTCCAACGTTGCAAGCACGTTATTCTATTTTTGATTCTTAAATTGCGATTTACTAACAGAACGATTCTCTTAGAATTTCATTCGTTAATTTAATTTTTTAAGAGCAAAGGTATAAGAAAAGAGTAGTTGTTGGAAGCAATCACAAAGTATCCTTTCATCTCACTCGTGTTTCTTGGTTCAGGAGTCAGGATGGCCGAGCGGTCTAAGGCGCCAGATTTAAGCTCTGGTTCTCGAAAGAGAGCGTGGGTTCGAACCCCACTCCTGACAATTGTTCTTACGTTGCAAGCACGTTATTCTATTTTTGATTCTTAAATTGCGATTTACTAACAGAACGATTCTCTTAGAATTTCATTCGTTAATTTAATTTTTTTAAGAGCAAAGGTATAAGAAAAGAGTAGTTGTTGGAAGCAATCACAAAGTATCCTTTCATCTCACTCGTGTTTCTTGGTTTAGGAGTCAGGATGGCCGAGCGGTCTAAGGCGCCAGATTTAAGCTCTGGTTCTCGAAAGAGAGCGTGGGTTCGAACCCCACTCCTGACAATTGTTCTTACGTTGCGAGCACGTTATTCTATTTTTGATTCTTAAGGAATCCGACTACCCTAAAACAATGATTTTTTTCAAAAATTGGCAAATTTTTTTATGACTTTATTTTATAGACCATTTTATTAACTTAATAACAATACCAAGTACTTTATTTTCCCTCCACTAGAACAAAAACTACAAGCGTTTTAGTAAAAGCAAATGCCATAACTTTACACAAGATGTCAAACATTAAAATGCGTTTTACTCGAAATGTGTTTTTTTCGAAAAACTCAAACGGGGACCACGATTGCTCAAAAAGTTTTGAAAATAATTAGCTGAAATTTTTTGCTTATGTTCTGCATAACAGTAGAAGTGTTTTGATCTTCAGAGTTATCAATCACTGTTTTATTTCAAAATTTGCAGTTCTTTATGTGAATATAGTCAATGTTTCTTTACGTTATTGTATTTTTGAGCAATTTCGTATAATGACTTAGATAAAGTGTTCTAGTTTTTGTAAAAATTAAAATATCTCTTATCTTGAAGGTCACTTCAAACAGGAATAATAAAGTAACACATCAAAACTGAAATATTGAGAATTTTTTCATAAAATCTTTGTACAGAGCGGGCCCCGTTTATGTAATTTTTTGTACATTTTTACTAGTTTTTTCCCATTTTAATAATAATAATATTTTTTTCTTTTACCAATTTTAGGATTTTTTCCTTAAAATATACTAAATAAATATAAAAATCACAAAAAGATCTCCATATCTCCTTTTTTTCAAAAAAAAGTTGTCGCAAGCAGTCGGATACCTTAAATTGCGATTTACTAACAGAACGATTCTCTCAGAATTTCATTCATTATTTTAATTTTTTTAAGAGCAAAGGCATAACAAAAGAGTAGTTGTTGGAAGCAATCATAAAGTATCACTTAAACTCACTCGTGTTTCTTGGTTCAGGAGTCAGGATGGCCGAGCGGTCTAAGGCGCCAGATTTAAGCTCTGGTTCTCGAAAGAGAGCGTGGGTTCGAACCCCACTCCTGACAATTGTTCTTACGTTGCAAGCACGTTATTCTATTTTTGATTCTTAAATTGCGATTTACTAACAGAACGATTCTCTTAGAATTTCATTCGTTAATTTAATTTTTTAAGAGCAAAGGTATAAGAAAAGAGTAGTTGTTGGAAGCAATCACAAAGTATCCTTTCATCTCACTCGTGTTTCTTGGTTCAGGAGTCAGGATGGCCGAGCGGTCTAAGGCGCCAGATTTAAGCTCTGGTTCTCGAAAGAGAGCGTGGGTTCGAACCCCACGCCTGACAATTGTTCTTACGTTGCAAGCACGTTATTCTATTTTTGATTCTTAAATTGCGATTTACTAACAGAACGATTCTCTTAGAATTTCATTCGTTAATTTAATTTTTTTAAGAGCAAAGGTATAAGAAAAGAGTATTTGTTGGAAGCAATCACAAAGTATCCTTTCATCTCACTCGTGTTTCTTGGTTCAGGAGTCAGGATGGCCGAGCGGTCTAAGGCGCCAGATTTAAGCTCTGGTTCTCGAAAGAGAGCGTGGGTTCGAACCCCACTCCTGACAATTGTTGCAAGCACGTTATTGTATTTTTGATTCTTAAATTGCAATTCACTAACAGAACGATTCTCTTAGAATTTTATTCGTTAATTTAATTTTTTAAGAGCAAAAGGTATAAGAAAAGAGTAGTTGTTGGAAGCAATCACAAAGTATCCTTTCATCTCACTCGTGTTTCTTGGTTCAGGAGTCAGGATGGCCGAGCGTCTAAGGCGCCAGATTTAAGCTCTGGTTCTCGAAAGAGAGCGTGGGTTCGAACCCCACTCCTGACAATTGTTCTTACGTTGCAAGCATGTTATTCTATTTTTGATTCTTAAATTGCGATTTACTAACAGAACGATTCTCTTAGAATTTCATTCATTAATTTAATTTTTTTAAGAGCAAAGGTATAAGAAAAGAGTAGTTGTTGGAAGCAATCACAAAGTATCCTTTCATCTCACTCGTGTTTCTTGGTTCAGGAGTCAGGATGGCCGAGCGGTCTAAGGCGCCAGATTTAAGCTCTGGTTCTCGAAAGAGAGCGTGGGTTCGAACCCCACTCCTGACAATTGTTCTTACGTTGCAAGCATGTTATTCTATTTTTGATTCTTAAATTGCGATTTACTAACAGAACGATTCTCTTAGAATTTCATTCGTTAATTTAATTTTTTAAGAGCAAAGGTATAAGAAAAGAGTAGTTGTTGGAAGCAATCACAAAGTATCCTTTCATCTCACTCGTGTTTCTTGGTTCAGGAGTCAGGATGGCCGAGCGGTCTAAGGCGCCAGATTTAAGCTCTGGTTCTCGAAAGAGAGCGTGGGTTCGAACCCCTTTTCTGACAATTGTTGCAAGCACGTTATTGTATTTTTGATTCTTAAATTGCGATTCACTAACAGAACTATTCTCTTAGAATTTCATTCATTATTTTAATTTTTTAAGAGCAAAGGTATAAGAAAAGAGTATTTGTTGGAAGCAATCACAAAGTATCCTTTCATCTCACTCGTGTTTCTTGGTTCAGGAGTCAGGATGGCCGAGCGGTAAAGGCGCCAGATTTAAGCTCTGGTTCTCGAAAGAGAGCGTGGGTTCGAACCCCACTCTCGACAATTGTTCTTACGTTGCAAGCATGTTATTCTATTTTTGATTCTTAAATTGCGATTTACTAACAGAAAGATTCTCTTAGAATTTCATTCGTTAATTTAATTTTTTTAAGAGCAAAGGTATAAGAAAAGAGTAGTTGTTGGAAGCAATCACAAAGTATCCTTTCATCTCACTCGTGTTTCTTGGTTCAGGAGTCAGGATGGCCGAGCGGTCTAAGGCGCCAGATTTAAGCTCTGGTTCTCGAAAGAGAGCGTGGGTTCGAACCCCACTCCTGACAATTATTGCAAGCACGTTATTGTATTTTTGATTCTTAAATTGCGATTTACTAACAGAACGATTCTCTTAGAATTTCATTCGTTAATTTAATTTTTTAAGAGCAAAGGTATAAGAAAAGAGTAGTTGTTGGAAGCAATCACAAAGTATCCTTTCATCTCACTCGTGTTTCTTGGTTCGGGAGTCAGGATGGCCGAGCGGTCTAAGGCGCCAGATTTAAGCTCTGGTTCTCGAAAGAGAGCGTGGGTTCGAACCCCACTCCTGACAATTGTTTTTACGTTGCAATCACGTTATTCTATTTTTGATTCTTAAATTGCGATTTACTAACAGAACGATTCTCTTAGAATTTCATTCGTTAATTTAATTTTTTAAGAGCAAAGGTATAAGAAAAGAGTAGTTGTTGGAAGCAATCACAAAGTATCCTTTCATCTCACTCGTGTTTCTTGGTTCAGGAGTCAGGATGGCCGAGCGGTTTAAGGCGCCAGATTTAAGCTCTGGTTCTCGAAAGAGAGCGTGGGTTCGAACCCCACTCCTGACAATTGTTTTACGTTGCAATCACGTTATTCTATTTTTGATTCTTAAATTGCGATTTACTAACAGAACGATTCTCTTAGAATTTCATTCGTTAATTTTATTTTTTTAAGAGCAAAGGTATAAGAAAAGAGTAGTTGTTGGAAGCAATCACAAAGTATTGTTTCATCTCACTCGTGTTTCTTGGTTCAGGAGTCAGGATGGCCGAGCGGTCTAAGGCGCCAGATTTAAGCTCTGGTTCCCGAAAGAGAGCGTGGGTTCCAACCCTTTTTCTGACAATTGTTGCAAGCACGTTATTGTATTTTTGATTCTTAAATTGCGATTCACTAACAGAACTATTCTCTTTAAATTTCATTCATTATTTTAATTTTTTTAAGAGCAAAGGCATAAGAAAAGAGTATTTGTTGGAAGCAATCATAAAGTATCCTTTATCTCACTCGTGTTTCTTGGTTCAGGAGTCAGGATGGCCGAGCGGTATAAGGCGCCAGATTTAAGCTCTGGTTCTCTAAAGAGAGCGTGGGTTCGAACCCCACTCCTGACAGTTGTTCCAACGTTGTAAGCACGTTATTCTATTTTTGATTCTTAAATTGCGATTTACTAACAGAACGATTCTCTTAGAATTTCATTCGTTAATTTAATTTTTTTAAGAGCAAAGGTATAAGAAAAGAGTAGTTGTTGGAAGCAATCACAAAGTATCCTTTCATCTCACTCGTGTTTCTTGGTTCAGGAGTCAGGATGGCCGAGCGGTCTAAGGCGCCAGATTTAAGCTCTGGTTCTCAAAAAAGAGAGCGTGGGTTCGAACCCCAAACAATTGTTCCAACGTTGCAAGCACGTTATTCTATTTTTGATTCTTAAATTGCGATTTACTAACAGAACGATTCTCTTAGAATTTCATTCGTTAATTTAATTTTTTTAAGAGCAAAGGTATAAGAAAAGAGTAGTTGTTGGAAGCAATCACAAAGTATCCTTTCATCTCATTCGTGTTTCTAGGTTCAGGAGTCAGGATGGCCGAGCGGTATAAGGCGAAAGATTTAAGCTCTGGTTCTCGAAAGAGAGAGTGGGTTCGAACCCCACTCCTGACAATTATTGCAAGCACGTTATTGTATTTTTGATTCTTAAATTGCGATTTACTAACAGAACGATTCTCTTAGAATTTCATTCGTTAATTTAATTTTTTTAAGAGCAAAGGTATAAGAAAAGAGTAGTTGTTGGAAGCAATCACAAAGTATCCTTTCATCTCACTCGTGTTTCTTGGTTCAGGAGTCAGGATGGCCGAGCGTCTAAGGCGCCAGATTTAAGCTCTGGTTCTCGAAAGAGAGCGTGGGTTCGAACCCCACTCCTGACAATTGTTCCAACGTTGCAAGCATGTTATTCTATTTTTGATTCTTAAATTGCGATTTACTAACAGAACGATTCTCTTAGAATTTCATTCATTATTTTAATTTTTTAAGAGCAAAGGTATAAGAAAAGAGTAGTTGTTGGAAGCAATCACAAAGTATCCTTTCATCTCACTCGTGTTTCTTGGTTCAGGAGTCAGGATGGCCGAGCGGTCTAAGGCGCCAGATTTAAGCTCTGGTTCTCGAAAGAGAGCGTGGGTTCGAACCCCACTCCTGACAATTGTTCCAACGTTGCAAGCACGTTATTCTATTTTTGATTCTTAAATTGCGATTTACTAACAGAACGATTCTCTTAGAATTTCATTCGTTAATTTAATTTTTTAAGAGCAAAGGTATAAGAAAAGAGTAGTTGTTGGAAGCAATCACAAAGTATCCTTTCATCTCACTCGTGTTTCTTGGTTCAGGAGTCAGGATGGCCGAGCGGTCTAAGGCGCCAGATTTAAGCTCTGGTTCTCGAAAGAGAGCGTGGGTTCGAACCCCACTCCTGACAATTGTTCTTACGTTGCAAGCATGTTATTCTATTTTTGATTCTTAAATTGCGATTTACTAACAGAACGATTCTCTTAGAATTTCATTCGTTAATTTAATTTTTAAGAGCAATGGTATAAGAAAAGAGTAGTTGTTGGAAGCAATCACAAAGTATTCTTTCTTCTCACTCGTCTTTCTTGGTTCAAAAGTCAGGATGGCCGAGCGGTCTATGGCGCCAGATTTAAGCTCTGGTTCTCGAAAGAGAGCGTGGGTTCGAACCCCACTCCTGACAATTGTTCTTACGTTGCAAGCATGTTATTCTATTTTTGATTCTTAAATTGCGATTTACTAACAGAACGATTCTCTTAGAATTTCATTCGTTAATTTAATTTTTTTAAGAGCAAAGGTATAAGAAAAGAGTAGTTGTTGGGAGCAATCAAAGTATCTTTTCATCTCACTCGTGTTTCTTGGTTCAGGAGTCAGGATGGCCGAGCGGTCTAAGGCGCCAGATTTAAGCTCTGGTTCTCGAAAGAGAGCGTGGGTTCGAACCCCACTCTGACAATTGTTCTTACGTTGCAAGCATGTTATTCTATTTTTGATTCTTAAATTGCGATTTACTAACAGAACGATTCTCTTAGAATTTCATTCGTTAATTTAATTTTTTAAGAGCAAAGGTATAAGAAAGAGTAGTTGTTGGAAGCAATCACAAAGTATCCTTTCATCTCACTCGTGTTTCTTGGTTCAGGAGTCAGGATGGCCGAGCGGTCTAAGGCGCCAGATTTAAGCTCTGGTTCTCGAAAAGAGCGTGGGTTCGAACCCCACTCTGAAAATTGAAAAATTGCAAGCAGTTAATTTTTGATTCTTAAATTGCGATTTACTAACAGAACGATTCTCTTAGAATTTCATTCGTTAATTTAATTTTTAAGAGCAAAAGGTATAAGAAAAGAGTAGTTGTTGGAAGCAATCACAAAGTATTTTCATCTCACTCGTGTTTCTTGGTTCAGGAGTCAGGATGGCCGAGCGTCTAAGGCGCCAGATTTAAGCTCTGGTTCTCGAAAGAGAGCGTGGGTTCGAACCCCACTCCTGACAATTGTTCTTACGTTGCAAGCACGTTATTCTATTTTTGATTCTTAAATTGCGATTTACTAACAGAACGATTCTCTTAGAATTTCATTCGTTAATTTAATTTTTTTAAGAGCAAAGGTATAAGAAAAGAGTAGTTGTTGGAAGCAATCAAAAAGTATCCTTTCATCTCACTCGTGTTTCTTGGTTCAGGAGTCAGGATGGCCGAGCGGTATAAGGCGCCAGATTTAAGCTCTGGTTCTCGAAAGAGCGTGGGTTCGAACCCCACTCCTGACAATTGTTCTTACGTTGCAAGCACGTTATTCTATTTTTGATTTTTAAATTGCGATTTACTAACAGAACGATTCTCTTAGAACTTCATTCATTAATTTAATTTTTTTAAGAGCAAAGGTATAAGAAAAGAGTAGTTGTTGGAAGCAATCACAAAGTATCCTTTCATCTCACTCGTGTTTCTTGGTTCAGGAGTCAGGATGGCCGAGCGGTCTAAGGCGCCAGATTTAAGCTCTGGTTCTCGAAAGAGAGCGTGGGTTCGAACCCCACTCCTGACAATTCTTCCAACGTTGCAAGCACGTTATTCTATTTTTGATTCTTAAATTGCGATTTACTAACAGAACGATTCTCTTAGAATTTCATTCGTTAATTTAATTTTTTAAGAGCAAAGGTATAAGAAAAGAGTATTTGTTGGAAGCAATCACAAAGTATCCTTTCATCTCACTCGTGTTTCTTGGTTCGGGAGTCAGGACAAGCGGTATAAGGCGCCAGATTTAAGCTCTGGTTCTCGAAAGAGAGCGTGGGTTCGAACCCCACTCTTGACAATTGTTCTTACAAAGCACGTTATTGTATTTTTGATTCTTAAATTGCGATTTACTAACAGAACGATTCTCTTAGAATTTCATTCATTATTTTAATTTTTTTAAGAGCAAAGGCATAAGAAAAGAGTATTTGTTGGAAGCAATCATAAAGTATTTATCTCACTCGTGTTTCTTGGTTCAGGAGTCAGGATGGCCGAGCGGTCTAAGGCGCCAGATTTAAGCTCTGGTTCTCGAAAGAGAGCGTGGGTTCGAACCCCACTCTTGACAATTGTTCTTAGGTTGCAAGCATGTTATTCTATTTTTGATTCTTAAATTGCGATTTACTAACAGAACGATTCTTTTAGAATTTCATTCGTTAATTTAATTTTTAAGAGCAAAGGTATAAGAAAAGAGTAGTTGTTGGAAGCAATCACAAAGTATCCTTTCATCTCACTCGTGTTTCTTGGTTCAGGAGTCAGGATGGCCGAGCGGTATAAGGCGAAAGATTTAAGCTCTGGTTCTCGAAAGAGAGAGTGGGTTCGAACCCCACTCCTGACAATTACGTTGCAAGCGCGTTTTTTTAATTCTTAAATTGCGATTTACTAACAGAACTATTCTCTTAGAATTTCATTCGTTATTTTAATTTTTTAAGACAAAGGTATAAGAAAAGAGTAGTTGTTGGAAGCAATCACAAAGTATCCTTTCATCTCACTCGTGTTTCTTGGTTCAGGAGTCAGGATGGCCGAGCGGTCTAAGGCGCCAGATTTAAGCTCTGGTTCTCGAAAAAGAGCGTGGGTTCGAACCCCACTCCTGACAATTGTTCTTACGTTGCAAGCATGTTATTCTATTTTTGATTCTTAAATTGCGATTTACTAACAGAACGATTCTCTTAGAATTTCATTCGTTAATTTTAATTTTAAGAGCAAAGGTATAAGAAAAGAGTAGTTGTTGGAAGCAATCACAAAGTATCCTTTCATCTCACTCGTGTTTCTTGGTTCAGGAGTCAGGAAGTGAGCGGTCAAGGCGCCAGATTTAAGCTCTGGTTCTCGAAAGAGAGCGTGGGTTCGAACCCCACTCCTGACAATTGTTGCAAGCACGTTATTGTATTTTTGATTCTTAAATTGCGATTCACTAACAGAACTATTCTCTTCAAATTTCATTCATTATTTTAATTTTTTTAAGAGCAAAGGCATAAGAAAAGAGTATTTGTTGGAAGCAATCATCAAAGTATCCTTTCATCTCACTCGTGTTTCTTGGTTCAGGAGTCAGGATGGCCGAGCGGTCTAAGGCGCCAGATTTAAGCTCTGGTTCTCGAAAGAGAGCGTGGGTTCGAACCCCACTCCTGACAATTGTTCCAACGTTGCAAGCACGTTATTCTATTTTTGATTCTTAAATTGCGATTTACTAACAGAACGATTCTTTAGAATTTCATTCATTAATTTAATTTTTAAGAGCAAAGGTATAAGAAAAGAGTAGTTGTTAAGCAATCACAAAGTATCCTTTCATCTCACTCGTGTTTCTTGGTTCAGGAGTCAGGATGGCCGAGCGTCTAAGGCGCCAGATTTAAGCTCTGGTTTTAAAAAGAGAGCGTGGGTTCGAACCCCACTCCTGACAATTGTTCTTACGTTGCAAGCACGTTATTCTACTTTTGATTCTTAAATTGCGATTTATTAACAGAACGATTCTCTTAGAACTTCATTCGTTAATTTTTTTTAAGAGCAAAGGTATAAGAAAAGAAATTTTTGAAGCAATCACAAATAATCGTTTCATCTAAAATTTCGTGTTTCTTATTAGGAGTAATGGCCGAAATTTTTAATCGGTTACTCGAAAGAATTTTCGAACCCCAACAATTTTAAGCGTTATTGTATTTTTTGATTCTTTTGGTACTAACAAAACGAAAATCGTTAATTTAATTTTTAAGAGCGGGGTATAAGAAAAGAGTTTTGTTGGAACTAAATATCCCATATAAAACTCGTTTTTCTTGGTTGAGTCAATCTAAGGCGCCAGATTTTCTCCATATCATTTTTCAAAAAAAACGTTATCGCTGAAATTTTTTGATTCTTAAATTGCGATTTACTAACAGAACGATTCTCTTAGAATTTCATTCATTATTTTAATTTTTTAAGAGCAAAGGTATAAGAAAAGAGTAGTTGTTGGAAGCAATCACAAAGTATCCTTTCATCTCACTCGTGTTTCTTGGTTCAGGAGTCAGGATGGCCGAGCGGTCTAAGGCGCCAGATTTAAGCTCTGGTTCTCGAAAGAGAGCGTGGGTTCGAACCCCACTCCTGACAATTGTTCTTACGTTGCAAGCATGTTATTCTATTTTTGATTCTTAAATTGCGATTTTTATTCTCTTAGAATTTCATTCGTTAATTTAATTTTTTTTAAGAGCAAAGGTATAAGAAAAGAGTAGTTGTTGGAAGCAATCAAAGTATCCTTTCATCTCACTCGTGTTTCTTGGTTCAGGAGTCAGGATGGCCGAGCGGTCTAAGGCGCCAGATTTAAGCTCTGGTTCTCGAAAGAGAGCGTGGGTTCGAACCCCACTCCTGACAATTCTTCCAACGTTGCAAGCACGTTATTCTATTTTTGATTCTTAAATTGCGATTCACTAACAGAACTATTCTCTTAGAATTTCATTCATTATTTTAATTTTTTTAAGAACAAAGGTATAAGAAAAGAGTAGTTGTTGGAAGCAATCACAAAGTATCCTTTCATCTCACTCGTGTTTCTTGGTTCAGGAGTCAGGATGGCCGAGCGGTCTAAGGCGCCAGATTTAAGCTCTGGTTCTCGAAAGAGAGCGTGGGTTCGAACCCCACTCCTGACAATTGTTCTTACGTTGCAAGCATGTTATTCAATTTTTGATTCTTAAATTGCGATCTACTAACAGAACGTTTCTCTTAGAATTTCATTCGTTAATTTAATTTTTTAAGAGCAAAGGTATAAGAAAAGAGTAGTTGTTGGAAGCAATCACAAAGTATCCTTTCATCTCACTCGTGTTTCTTGGTTCGGGAGTCAGGATGGCCGAGCGTCTAAGGCGCCAGATTTAAGCTCTGGTTCTCGAAAGAGAGCGTGGGTTCGAACCCCACTCCTGACAATTGTTCTTACGTTGCAAGCACGTTATTCTATTTTTGATTCTTAAGGTATCCGACTACCCTAAAACAATGATTTTTTTCAAAACTTGGCAAATTTTTTTATGACTTAATTTTATAGACCATTTTATTAACTTAATAACAATACCAAGTACTTTATTTTCCCTCCAATAGAACAAAATCTACAAGCGTTTTAGTAAAAGCAAATGCCATAACTTTACACAAGATGTCAAACATTAAAATGCGTTTTACTCGAAATGTGTTTTTTTTCGAAAAACTCAAACGGGGACCGCGATTGCTCAAAAAGTTTTGAAAATAATTAGCTGAAATTTTTTGCTTATGTTCTGCATAACAGTAGAAATGTTTTGATCTTCAGAATTATCAATCACTGTTTTATTTCAAAATTTGCAGTTCTTTATGTGAATATAGTTCAATGTTTCTTTAAGCAATTTCGCATAATGACTTAGATAAAGTGCTCTAGTTTTTGTAAAAATTAAAATATCTCTTATCGTTACGGTCACTTCAAACAGGAATAACAAAGTAACACATCAAAATTGAAAAATTGAGAATTTGTTCATAAAATCTTTGTACAGAGCGGGCCCCGTTTATGTAATTTTTCGTACATTTTTACTAGTTTTTTCCCATTTTAATAATAAAAATATTTTTTTCTTTTACCAATTTTAGGATTTTTTCCTTAAAATATACAAAAAAATATAAAAATCACAAAAAGACACCATATCTCCTTTTTTCAAAAAAGAGTTGTCGCAAGCAGTCGGATACCTTAAATTGCGATTTACTAACAGAACGATTCTCTCAGAATTTCAATCATTATTTTAATTTTTTTAAGAGCAAAGGCATAAGAAAAGAGTATTTGTTGGAAGCAATAATAAATTATCCTTTCATCTCACTCGTGTTTCTTGGTTCAGGAGTGGGATGGCCGAGCGGTCTAAGGCGCCAGATTTAAGCTCTGGTTCTCGAAATAGAGCGTGGGTTCGAACCCACTCCCTAATAATTGTTCCAACGTTGCAAGCACGTTATTCTATTTTTGATTCTTAAATTGCGATTTACTAACAGAACTATTCTCTTAGAATTTCATTCGTTAATTTAATTTTTTAAGAGCAAAGGTATAAGAAAAGAGTATTTGTTGGAAGCAATCATAAAAGTATCCTTTCATCTCACTCGTGTTTCTTGGTTCAGAGTCAGGACGGCCGAGCGGTCTAAGGCTCCAGATTTAAGCTCTGGTTCTCGAAAGAGAGCGTGGGTTCGAACCCCACTCCTGACAATTGTTGCAAGCACGTTATTGTATTTTTGATTCTTAAATTGCGATTCACTAACAGAACTATTCTCTTCAAATTTCATTCATTAATTTAATTTTTTAAGAGCAAAGGTATAAGAAAAGAGTATTTGTTGGAAGCAATCACAAAGTATCCTTTATCTCACTCGTGTTTCTTGGTTCAGGAGTCAGGATGGCCGAGCGGTCTAAGGCGCCAGATTTAGCTCTGGTTCTCGAAAGAGAGCGTGGGTTCGAACCCCACTCCTGACAATTATTGCAAGCACGTTATTGTATTTTTGATTCTTAAATTGCGATTCACTAACAGAATTATTCTCTTAGAATTTCATTCATTATTTTAATTTTTTAAGAACAAAGGTATAAGAAAAGAGTAGTTGTTGGAAGCAATCACATAAAGTATCCTTTCATCTCACTCGTGTTTCTTGGTTCAGGAGTCAGGATGGCCGAGCGGTCTAAGGCGCCAGATTTAAGCTCTGGTTCTCGAAGAGAGCGTGGGTTCGAACCCCACTCCTGACAATTGTTCTTACGTTGCAAGCACGTTATTCTATTTTTGATTCTTAAATTGCGATTTACTAACAGAACGATTCTCTTAGAATTTCATTCGTTAATTTAATTTTTTAAGAGCAAAGGTATAAGAAAAGAGTAGTTGTTGGAAGCAATCACAAAGTATCCTTTCATCTCACTCTCGTGTTTCTTGGTTCGGGAGTCAGGATGGCCGAGCGTCTAAGGCGCCAGATTTAAGCTCTGGTTCTCGAAAGAGAGCGTGGGTTCGAACCCCACTCCTGACAATTGTTCTTACGTTGCAAGCACGTTATTCTATTTTTTGATTCTTAAATTGGTGATTTACCAGAACGATTCTCTTAAAATTTCATTCGTTAATTTTTTAAGAGCAAAGAGTAGTTGTTCGAAGCAATCACAAAGTATCCTTTCATCTCACTCGTGTTTCTTGGTTCGGGAGTTTGGCCGAGCGTCTAAGGCGCCAGATTTAAGCTCTGGTTTCGAAAGAGAGCTTCGAAATAACAATACGTTGCAAGCAGTACTATTTTTTGATTCTTAAGGTATCCCTCTAAAGCAATGATTTTTTCAAAACTTGGCAAATTTTTTATGACTTAATTTTATAGACCATTTTATTAACTTAATAACAATACCAAGTACGTTTATTTTCCTCCAATAAACATTAAAATGCGTTTTACCGAAATGTGTTTTTCGAAAACTCAAACGGGGACCGCGATTGCTCAAAAAGTTTTGAAAATAATTAGCTGAAATTTTTTGCTTATGTTCTGCATAACAGTAGAAATGTTTTTGATTTTCAGAATTATCAATCACTGTTTTATTTCAAAATTTGCAGTTCTTTATGTGAATATAGTTCAATGTTTCTTTAAGCAATTTCTGTATAATGACTTAGATAAAGTGCTCTAGTTTTTGTAAAAATTAAAATATCTCTTATCGTGACGGTCACTTCAAACAGGAATAACAAAGTAACACATCAAAATTGAAAAATTGAGAATTTGTTCATAAAATCTTTGTACAGAGCGGGCCCCCGTTTATGTAATTTTTCGTACATTTTTACTAGTTTTTTCCCATTTAATAATAAAAATATTTTTTTCTTTTACCAATTTTAGGATTTTTTCTTAAAATATACAAAAAATATAAAATCACAAAAAGACTCCATATCTCCTTTTTCAAAAAAAAAGTTGTCGCAAGCAGTCGGATACCTTAAATTTGCGATTTACTAAAAGAACGATTCTCTCAGAATTTCATTCATTATTTTAATTTTTTAAGAGCAAAGGTATAAGAAAAGAGTATTTGTTGGAAGCAATAATAAATTATCCTTTCATCTCACTCGTGTTTCTTGGTTCTGGAGTCAGGATGGCCGAGCGGTCTAAGGCGCCAGATTTAAGCTCTGGTACTCGAAAGAGAGCGTGGGTTCGAATTCCACCTCCTAATAATTGTTCCAACATTGCAAGCACGTTATTCTACTTTGATTCTTAAATTGCGATTTACTAACAGAACTATTCTCTTAGAATTTCATTCGTTAATTTAATTTTTTAAGAGCAAAGGTA